AGTGTAGGTGGTAATTTAGTGAGGAACTTAGCAGTTTATTTACATAGGAGAATTAGGCCCTGAGACCCTCTTGCCAGGATAAGGAAGCTTCTTCCCTCCTGGTACAGGGAATGCACCCTTCACACTGGAGATTCATTTCCTGCTCTTAGGAGAAAGAGGGAGTCAAAGAAATCCCTGATTGGGCTGTTTCTCCAGCAACTTTAATTAAAAAGAATCAGTATGCCACTTTGATCCATCTTGGGGTGGCCTTCCCTGATCTCCAACATCTGTGAGGCTACACAAGAGGCTTGTCAGCCTCAGGCTGCCCCTGCATTTAAGCTGCAGAGCCACGAGCAAAGTCATAGCAAGACTGTTAGTCCCAAAGCCGGGAAAATGTCAACAGGTGGACTTCCCTCTGTTGTATGTATATTTCCTCCTCTGTATGTCAGCCACCCTCTCTGTGCAATGTCCACTGGCAAAGGAGAAATGGAGGAGCAGGCACAGACAAGCATAAAGTAGGTGAGTCGTTGCCCTGGGCTGGCATGGTGGTGGGGTGACTCCTGCTCTTAGGTTGTCCCGCAAGTGCTGCCACCTACTTGGCCCCCAGACGCTACTAGCGCTACTAGCGCGGCCTCATCTGCACTCCCCCCGCCGCCTGCGAGGAGGATGTCCAATCCACCCACTTCACCCATCACAAAGCTGAGGTTCAGCGAGATTGATGATATCCCCAATGCCCTGGTCAAGTGGGAGCACTGCTATATCGAAGGGCAAAATGTGTGCCCTTGACATTGACTCAGGGCGGCCTTTAGACATCCCTGGGATTGAGCGGCTTGCACTCACAGTGCTAGTAGCTGAGAAAGACCATCCTCTCTCTGCTCACCCACTGACCACTACCACATGTCAAGCGCTGTGTGCAAGGTTTTTGATTGCGGTGCATTACTTTATTGACTCCTAATTGTAAAAATGATTACTCATCATTTTCCAAATGGAGAAAATGCATGGAGAGCTGTCAAAAGTCACCCAGCTCATAACCTGAAGAGCCAGAGTGCAAGCATAGCTAGTTTCCCTCCCAAGTGGCTCCCACTGCGTTGGGCCCATTTTACAAGATAGGAATGACCATCTCCCAGGATTTTTTAAATATTTATTTATTTATGCATACAAGAACTGGAGTACAGGAGTACAGTCCAGAGGTGGGGTACAGGGTGGTAAGAGGATTCACCAGAGATAGAGTGGGGAGCAGAACAGGTGGGGTCTACTGAAATACACAGTTGAGGGGAGCAGTGGGTGGAACAGGAGAGGTCTGCTGCACCATGTGGGTGAGCTCCCTGCCCGGGATTAAACTCATACAGCAGTGGCCGCAGATAGCTTCATAGTGCTGAGACTTAACCCCTTGTGCCCCCAGGGATGCCCCAATCTCCTGGTATTAATTGTGATCTGAAAAGACCCAGGTGACTTCTGGGGCACCCTGTTAGACTAGGACTGCCACTGTTAGAGCATACACACATAGGAAGCACACAATCGATGCATAAATTATTATTTGCTCAAAACTTTGCACCCGTTACAACTTCCAACTTATCCTCATGCTGTGTTCATTCACAGGGCGCCAATTCTAAGCTGCGTGAAAAGCTTCTGGCTCCCGCTCAAGTCTGGCCAGAGCTGGTCGCAGCAGCGCCATCTAACGGCTGCTTCTTGTACACCAGAGAGCCCTGGGGCGGTTAGGATGGATTTAAGGATTTCAGGGAGAACAACAGTCAGCCCGGCGCCTCCATCCCCTCGCCTCTCCCCGCAGGTTTTGGTAAGGGGAGGAGAAGAACGTTTTGAGGTAGGGGAAGCTGTAGAGACTTTGTTTTAGCCATTTCACTGTGATTCCCAGGGTGAGGTGGTCTGCCTTGTTGTTAAACTTGATGGGGGCACAAAGCACACCCAGCAATCCAACCTAAAACGGCAGTAATTCATAGGCAACACATAGTTGTGAGTTACCCCGTCATAGAAAGGCAAGGAGAGTAAGGAGAGGGATCTGGGGAGTCTCACCCAGACCTGATGCTCCGCAGCCACTTTTTGTCCCGTGCCCCACTCTCTGAGGAGCTTCTTCCACGGAGTCAGTTCACAGTGTGCTCAGGATGGAGTTTGGCGGATACTCCTCCCTCTTATGGTGGCATTATTCTTGGCGAGGGACTTCCCTTCCTGATGTCAGAATCTCCATGCTGCCTCTCTGCCCAGAAGGAGGGTTTCTCCTTAGATTCCATGTTCCCCTTCTTAGAGATTCTGTCTCAGTGGGTGTGAGGCTTGGTATGGTGTAGGTGGTTTCTCCTGTGTTGCCATGGCCGGCTGGGGAAGCCCTGCTTTGGAGTGTACTGACTGCAGTATACAGCTGGAGGGAGAAGGTGCAGATCCTATTACTCTGTACTATATATTTGCATAGACTCCATTTTTGACACTATTAGCCTAAAGGGAAGAAATGGGGTGATGGATGATACTATGTTTTTCAGCTGGATTTGTAAGAAGATGGTCCCTAGGAAAAGGGGAGGTTCCAGGTTTCCTGCCCCACCCAAGGAAGGACGGAGCTGTGCAGGGAGAAGCTGGAGAAGAGACAGGATGGAGGCAGGAGATGTGGAGCAGAGAGACATATGAATTAGCTGTACTTGCTTCTTGGTCCTGGACTGGGTGAGACAGATGTGGGTGAGAGACCCATGGGGAGGGTTAACGATGGCAACTTTAATCTTGATTTTGATTTTGCTCTTTTCCTCCCAGATTTGTCTGACTGCTTTTGACCTCTCTTTACAGGTCCCTGCCAGAAGGTGCTTTAGACTTGTGGTGGGCTTTTGGGCCTTGCTTTGGGCCAATCCCACTTGGGTGGACTTTTACCCATGCAGGGATGGGCAACTTTAGGTGCTTGATTTGAAAACTGTATTGTGTTTTTTGTATTGCACACTAATTGTATTAAAGTTCCTTTCCATTAAAGGTCTATGTTTTGTCTTGATATGGCAGATGGCAGAACCTCTTTAGAGCAGGAAGGTTCAGGTTTTTGGGGTGTCTCTCTCTCTTCCCTATACCAGGTTCTCCAAAACTTCCTGATACATATATACTGCCAATATCTGACCCACAAAGTGGCCACAGAGGAGAGTATTCAGTCTTGCTAATCTTTGGACAGCAATTACTCTACTATAGAGCTAAGGTTGAAAAGGGAAAAGTTTTATACTTCATGGGCTTTTCTTCCACTAAAGGGCCTGGTTATTTAAAAAAAAAAAAATTATCTTAGTAAGCCTAAACATATTTCAAACAAGGTTTCTCAGGTGAATCCAGTTAAGATAACATTTTACATTGTACCATGTACTAACTATGCAATTGCCTAATTAATGAAGGGTTAATATGTTAGAAAGGAGTGCTTGGAATGAAACTTAAATTCCTGTTTTTCCATTTCAGAGGATTCTGTGATGGCAGAGGCCTGGGACAGCTCTTACCTCACCCTCAGAGACAGCAGGGCTAGTTTGATAGTGGGTTTGATTCACATCCTTTACATTTCGCCTTTGAGTGTTCCTCACCAGCCTGTTCTATTTTTGCTCTTCTGCACCAGTTATCATCTGCTATTGTATACAATTTATTGTTTGCCATTATCTTCTGACTAGTGAGATGGTCTCATAGCTATCACAGAAAATTTACTTACTGGACCAGCCTGAAAAGAAGAAACCAGAGGGGCACAGGTATGTTTTATTTGCTTCCCAGTGGGGGTAAGGGAGAAAGTAGGGTTCATCTCAGTGTGACCCCAGCTGACAACAATGGGAAGCCTCATTTTGAGAAGTTCCTAGTTATGTTCCCCACACCTGCATTTCTCACCTGTCTCCTGCCCCCCTGCTCAGTAAGGGCAGGGTCATCTTGAACTTGCACATTCTGCCGCCTTCCAGGGGACAGTGAGAGCAGCTTCTGCTTGGGGTTCTGGCTCAGACTTGTCTCCAAATTGCAGTTTCTCCATAAAATGAGGATAATGATTAGGTGGCTGTGTGGCTTTGATGAGATTAGGGGAGCAAAGCACCCAGCATCCTGGAACCTGGGAGGGAGATGCCATTAGTCCCCTCGAAAGTGATGTCTTCACCATCTTCCCAACCTTTCTCCATAGCAGGAAGGCACTGCTTCTTCATTAGGGTGTCTCAGACTCTGGACTGTAGGCTGATCCATTCCTATCTTGGGAGGCCACATGATCCTTGAAGGGGTGCCGGAACTTTGGGGACTCAGCAGGGCCATCTGGACAAAGAAGAGGGAAGCTCAGGGCACTGGCCAGAAATGGGCTCTGCCCTTCTGCTGGTGGCCAACATTGGGAGCATCCTCCTATCGGTGCTTCCATTCCTGGGGAGCTCTTGGCTACAGGTGAGGAGGGTACAGCGCAGCCCTTACCCGAGGCTGTGCTCATTGTCCACACTGTGCCCTCAGGATGCCTCCCGTGGGGGCTGGGGGCCCTTCTCAATAGTGGCCACCAGACTCTGCTCATGGCCTCACTCTCTCAGCCCTCTGGCCACCTGCCTACCCTCACACCTGCTTCAAATACCCTGAAGGGTCTGTTTGGGGAGGCACTGGTGCAGGGCTGTGACGAGATAGTCTGTGTCTAAGGTGGAGGAAAGGAAGAAAATTTCAGGACCCATCTACCTGAGAGTAATGGGGACATGACCATTCACTGATGCACAGGCGTCTCCGGGTAACACAATGTGACCTAGACAGGCCATTTCACCCCTCTGCTCCCAGTTGGTGGGGCTCAACTGAACTAAGCACTTCCTAACAGTATGTTTTCCAATGAAGAAAGGGCTTAAGTTGTTCCAACAAAGGTCGTGCAAGGCCATGTCTTGGGCCAGGCCTATGCTGCTGCTTCTCCTCGGGGGCAGTGGGCCAGGCCGAGGCGGGTCTCCAAGCAGCCCCGCTCCAGCCCTCTGAAGATGCTCTCCCCTGAGACTGGTGGCCATCAGGGCTGTGACATCACCACTGGATCCTGTACCTCCTCCAAGGCTGATATACCACACCACAATCAAGAGGGCCATTTTTACTCTATTTTATTGAACTCAAGAACTTCTTTCTTAAATTAGAGGCGACAAGATTTGACAATACCAGAAACGAGAACACCAGAAACGAGAACACCAGAAACGAGAACATTTGTCTGCCCAGGCTGTGCAGACGAGTACAGAGTTAATCTCACACAGAGACCTCAAAGCCATCTTATTCAGGTCCGTGTCTGATTCTGCAGAAGCTCCGGAGCCTGGTAAACAGCTGCAAATACCAAAGTGCACTGAGAGCCACCAGGCAGCAAGGGCCCCCAGGGGAGATGGGAAGAGGGGGAAGCAGAAGCGTGTCACCTACTCAAGGCCAAAATGGTAAGAAAAGCAGTGGCAGGAACACTTGCAAAGGACCTGGCCCCGCCCTTCCCCGGGCCACCCCCTGAAGGCCAGACAGCCCCAGCCACAGCACTGGGGCTTCCTGCCCCCCCAGTAGAGGGCGGGGCTTCTCTGCAGGGGAAGGGGGGTCTCTGAGGCCTGGGATCCCAGAGGCTCTCACACCCATCTCTCCCTAGGAAAGTCTCCTAGGCCCCAGCCAGCAACAGCTGAGCCCCTTGCACAGGGAGAGTGAAAGCCCAGTGCACCGTATGGACAGCTGCAGCCCCACAGCACCCCACATGCACCCCACCCCCGGCACACACACACACACACACACACACACACGCACTGGAGCTGGGGGTCAAGAGTCACCCAGGGCTGAGAGCTGGATTTGGAAGGGGCACATCTGTGCATCAGCCCAAGGAGGTCTCTCACGCCTCTCCCCCTGCCCCCCCTGCAGTCCTGGGCTCTAGCTCTCAGGCTGCCCCAAGATCTTTGGGTGGAGGCAGGGGCTGGCAGGCTCCCAGAGGGATCCTGGTGGACAGGGCTGGGTGGGTGAGGGCCACCAGGGCCAGAGGCTCCCAGGAGACCTGGCACCAGTTAGGACGCCATCAGGCCCTGTTGGGGGGAAATTCAGAGGTGCCAAGTCAGGCTGCAGTCCTTGGGGTGGGGCAGGCAGATCTTCACCCAGGCCCTGGCTCCAGGAGGGCAGGTGGTAGCAGCCTGGGCCGCTCTGTCCCTGGGGCTGACCAGGCCCCTGTGGTTTTCAGTCCCAGCATCTCTGAGGACGCGAGCCACGAGCAGCCGGTGCCCAGCAGACGCGAGGCTGGGTGGGTGCCGACGACCAGGGTGTCTGCGGCCGGGCTGCTCCTCCCATCAGCAGCACACCCAGGGCTTGCAGGACTGAGCCGAGTCCATCTAGAGTCTCCCCTGGGATCCTGGGGGCTGGGGGGCCGAGCCTGGGGACAGAGGGGTCATGCCATGAGTCCCAGCCCATTCCACCTCAGGTGTATGTCTTCACCCTCTGGTTAGCAGCTCGCAGGAGCCCCGGCCCCACCCCACCACCCAAAGGAGGCTTGTGCTGCCCAACTGAGGAGCCCCTGGTCCAGCCTGGGGTCGGCGGGGAGGCCAGGCTCTGTGGGGGACCTCCACCCCCGGGGCCTGGGCCCCATCTCTCCTGTGCCAGCTCAGCTCAGACTGTCCTCCCCTGCTTCCTCGTGACCTGCCATACCACTGCGGGGGGAGCGAGTTGCCCAGATCCCCTACCCTGGACCCCTCGCTCCCTAAGTCCCCCAGGAGCCCTGCACCGCTCCCCCACCCTGTGTTGAGTGGGGGACGCAGGGTGCACTCCTTTCTATCTGTGGGCAGGGCAACATTCTTCCCTCCGGAACCCCAAGTTACCCATCACTGGGTGGGAGAACAGAGCGCCCTCTAAGTGCTGCGAGGAGACCTAGTGCCCAGGTGACAAGGCCGTGCCCGGCCCCGCACCAGAGCTGCACTGGGCTCCCACAGCCCTGGGGGCCTCTGCCCGCAAGGCCCTTCTCTCTCTCCTCCGCCAGGCCCTTCCTCAGCTGCTCCCCAGGCAGCTCTGGGTCCAGGGGTGCCCCTTGTCAGGCGTCTGGCTCTTGACAGCTCTGAGAAGGGGCGGGTCTCCACCTACAAACATCAGCTCCTGAAAGACAGGGAGACTTGAGCCATGACCGTCACCCCGCCAGCCCGTTTGCCTTCCTCCGCAAGCCCTTCTCCACCTGTCTCCCCACCCAGCCTGGGCACTGCGCTCTGCTCTGGAGGCCCTGATTTCCCCAAACCTTCAGGTACTCAGGAGGCTGCCGGAAGCTGCCCAGCCCAGGGCCAAGGAGGGCTTCCTGGGGGCAGTGGCGGGTGCTGGAGGGAGTAAGGTGACAGGAGCCTGGGCCTTCTGGAAGGAGCGACGGGGACAGGAGGCCTCTTTCCTCTCTCTCAGGTCTTCAAACACAGAGGGAGCTCAAGGGACAGCAGGAGCAGGCGGGAGCAGGCCACTGGCCCCAGAGACCCGGCAGGAGGCCGTCTGGGGAAGGGCTGTGCGGGCAGCAGCAGAGAGCCCCAGGGACCTGAGGGCCGAGAAGGGGACAGGACTGGGACTTACTTGGCCAGGAACACCCCTCCTTACTGGTGGGGGGCTTGGGGGCTAGAAGAGAAGGCACAGCCTGTCGTCCAGGGCCCTCCCCGGGCCTCGGAACCGATTGCCCTCCATTCCCTGCGGTTGAGGTGCGACCAGCCAGGCCTTGGGGAAAGGGATTGGGCCGAGGGCAGAGGAGGGAAGACACTAATGGGTACCCACGGCCGCTCGCCCCCACCTTGGCACCATTACAAGGCCATCAGGAGGGCCTGTGTCTGCCCTGCCTTTGCTGGGGCTGGCTGCCTCGGGTCCAGTCCACATCCTCCCCGCCAAGCCAAGGGGCCTCGACTTCCAGAGGTCGCGGAAACCACTTTCCTCTGGCCCGCCAGTCCAGCCTCTGGCTCCTACCTGGATGTCAGGGCCCCTCAGGTCAGTTCCTGCGGCGGTGGCAGACGGCGGACGCTCTGCTTTCTGGTTCCTTCCCGCCCCTTCGGCCAACGTGAGGCAACAGGTAGGCCGCGCGCAAATAACGTTCTGGAGGCGCAGCGAGGGCCCCACCTGCGAGTAGTCTGTGCGATCTGCCAGGCACCCGCCGGGCACGTGGGCGGTCACCGCGGGGCCGGGCGGCCAGGCCGGGCTGGGCAGCCGAGGCACCCTCCTGCGGAGGTCTAGCGTCCAGGGGCCCGTCACCCCGCCTTCTCCGCGCCGCGACCCCGCGGCCCCCCGCCGTCCTTCATGCGGGCGCCCCTGCCCCTGCCGTCGCCGGCGGGCGCAGGACCCTCCCCGGGCCGCGGTGGCCGCGGGCGCTCACTCGATCCGCACCTGCAGGCGGACGTTGAGCATCACCGAGGCCACGACGTAGAAGTAGGGGAAGTTCACGCGCAGCCGCCAGGCCAGATCGAAGAAGGTGAGCAGCGTGCGCGTGAGCCCCTTGCAGAAGGCGCTGTAGGAGCCGCGCGCCGCGGCCGAGCGCGAGAGCCGCACCGCCAGGCCCGAGAGGGCC